CCCCCCCCCCCCCCCCCCACAGTTAGTTATAAGATGGGCAGCTGCGTATTTAATAAATAAACAAAAAACCATTTGCCAAAACACTACTGGGTAAAATTTCTTACCCCCCCTCAGCCCAAACACCTTTTACACGAATGCACATCAAGCCAGTCGTCTAAAAACAATACGTCTTTTTTATTGTTAAGTCAATAAAGAGGTATCAAAATTAAAAGGAAAAAAATTACAAGGGATGGAACTGAACTAGAGGAGTGGATGAAGGGAAGGAGATGGAACGAAGACAAAGACGACGAAGGGCGGGTGCCAACAGAAGACATGAATATTGTAAAACACACAGGGCTGCAAGAAGGGGAGGGCAGTGAGGCAGCAGCCAGCAAATGGGGGGGGAGAGGAGATGGGTGGGTGCGAGAGGCTCAATCAGAAGAACGCTGTGTGGGCCAAGGAGCAGAGAAGGGAGAGAGGTATGTTAGGTTCTTATGAGTCATCTTCGCCATTGGCACTGTCTCTGTCGTCTTCCCCTTCTTCCGGTTCCTTATCGTCGCCTTTGATGGACTCCAACTGGGAGAGAGAAGGGGACAGGCAGAAGAGCTGAGTTAGCAAATGGGGAGAGCCTTCATCCTCACTCGAGGCTCTCTGCCTTCTCCAGCTTCGTACCTGGTCGTCTCCCCGGTCTTCATTGTCGTCGTCGTCCAGCAGGTCCCCTTCCTCGGCCGAGTCATCTGCCCCGGCCTCAGACTCCATCTTCACATTGCTCTCTTCTTTCTTGGTCGAGCTGCTGCTTTGCTCTTCTTCCAACTTGTCGTTCTTCAGTTCTGGGAAGGGAGGAGAGGTGGGCAGTTAATCAGGTTTGGGGTTCACTATCATTTGGGCCTCCTGCCTATTGCCTTGCAGTGAAAACTCTGAAGGAGGGGCTTAACCATTACGAAAGATGATCCAACCTTTTTTTCCCCCCTCAACCATCCTACAAAACGGGCCAATAGTTAGCAATACTTTTGGGGAAATAGCAGCTTCTGCAGTTCATATCCTGCTTGAAAGGCTGCTGTAGAAAACTTTTCCTCCATGCATGGAAGATGCTAGTGCTGCAAGTGGTAGGCTGGCTTAGAGGGGGAGCTTTCGCCTCACAATCAGGAGGCTGTGAGTTCAATCCTAGGTAGAGGCAGATATTTCTCTCTCTGAACACAATGGGAATATATCTGCTGGAAAAAACTTCCACAATGGTGACAGGAAGGGCATCCGGCCAGTAAACACTCAGCTCTATTCAGTTGCCTAGACTCCCCCACCCACCGCAACGGATATTATGGGGTCATTAAAAGAGGATGGTGGAAGAGTCTAGTGAGGCATGTGCTCCTAACAATGGGGTAAGAATATCATGGGGGACTGGAACAGGTTAGCAGGAAGGGACTCTAAGGGTTACAGCATAAAAAGCCACACTGTGAGTAGAGAAGCCCACTCTCTACCTACAAGATGTCCCAAATTCCATCTGTCTGCTGGCCCAGACAAACTGTCATTACCGACATAAGCTTGTCCACATTCAAACATGAATCTTGTGGCCCTCAATTTCTTTCTCCCTCTCCCCTGAAGACTGAACTCTTAGACATAATGTTTCAAGCCAGGCATGCATCCCACATGGATCTCCAGGCAGTTTATCCCTTCCCCCCTCTCCCCTCCCACTATTTACTTTGATCCTTCTCTATCTTCTCAAGGCTTTCCAGCAGAGAATCCACTTTCTGCTTAATCTGGGTCAGTTCCTTCTTAATGGCCTGCAAGTCATCTCCTTTCACTGAAACACAGAAGGGAAGCTCAATTAACTGGAAGTTTCAGCACAGGAGTTTATTAAATAAGCATAAAATACTCAAAAAAACAAATAAAAAGGGAGATTAAAAAAAAATTCCACCTCCTCTCTTCTAAAAGCACCTCCTCCCCCCCTTCCTCATCAAAGAGGCATTGCAGAATGTTTCAGTGCTTGTGGCAGCCAGGTTGAAGCAGGGAGGATGGCAGACTTTGGAATAACCCAATTTAACACAAAATCTCTCCCGCACCTGCTCATCCATTTGCTATAGACACTGCTCAACGTTCCAACACCTACATTTCCCAGATTTGGAAGACGATCCCCGCTGCCCGCTCTTTGAGTTGAATCCGCTTTTCCCTCTGCGAGAGGTATTGCCAGAAACCCGCTGGCGTTTGGAAGGTACCACAGCCCTGGCAATGGGGGGCGGAGGGGGCACTCGTGCTTGGTAGCTGTACATCCTAAGAGAACACGAAAAGGAGGGGGGGAAAATATATCTTAGCTTCAAAACCGCTTTGTGAATCCGCCACCGGCATCACACTGTGAATCTCTTCTGAAGTTTCTCAAAATACCTTCTTCTAATTAGATAAGCTAATTGAGGGCATTATGTACTCCTTTCAAAACAGCTCAGCTCTTTCTGTAACACCCACACCTCAGAAATATGTCTCTCGGCTAAAGAAGATGGTCCAGAACTATTTTTGAATCAGAATAGAACTGGAAGGTCTTCCTTGGAGGTCTTCCAGACCAACTCCCTACTAAGTAGGAGACCCTATACCTTTTCAGACAGATGGCTGCCCAGTCTTTTCTTTAAAAAACCTCCAATGATGGAGTTCTTATACCTTAAACTCTTCTCTTATACCTCTTCCCTCTCTCCCAAAACAATTGATTAAAATCTTCTCTTAAATCTTGTTAATACAATCAACGGCTACCCATTTTCTTCCTAACTTTGGAAGACAAGGGATCTCAAGAGATTAATTCCCATTAAATTAAACATTTGGGAATTTAGGGGCATGCACGGATATCCTCTACAAAGTCACAGAAAGACTTTTTCTTAAACAAGAGGATGAGAGCGTTAAGTTTACATTCCATGAATTAAATGGAATGAATATGTTTAGCTTCCAACAATTCCCTCCCCACTATCATTTTATAAATTTGAATCCAATTCACTGGATCTGGAGTTTGAGCCCAAGGTTTTGGGAGCCTACATGCAGATCCTTAGGGACCTTAGTTCTGTACTTCTGTTCTACAGCAACACTTTACTGGAATGTGTGTGTGCATGCAATGCTCCAGTAAACTTCTCTGTCTCAAACCCATCACACCCCAGATAATTGTTTATAACATTACGAAATGGAAGTGTGCCAATTGAGACCATCTATCGACTCAGAATTATCTAGCCTAACGGATCTCTCTAGATCAGGGGTGTCAAATTCTATTTCACTGAGAGCCACATCAGGGTTGTGTTTGACCTTGGGGGGCCTGGGGGGGAGATGTCCAGCTCGATTTCACTTGTGTCAGGAGCACCTGTGGTGGCCCGAGTGCTATTCCAGCGAAAACGGAGGTTGGGAGGACCGCGTGTAGTCCTCCCGAGCTCTGCTTTTTGCTGGCAGAGGGTTGCAGGAGGCCGTCGCAGCAAAAAATGGAGTTCAGAGGGCCGCATGCAGCCCTCCCAAGCTCTGTTTTCATTGGCAGAGGCACTGCAGGCTGGTCCTTCAGTGTTTCCAGGGCGGCCCCGTGGGCCAGATCTAAGCACCCTGTGGGCTGGATCCAGCCCACGGGCCTTGTGTTTGACACCTCTGTTCTAGATGTTCAAGCCTATCTGAAGATGTCAGCATTACCCTCATGCAGAGAATGAATTTCACCACTAATTTATAACCTGCCTCAGAGATGGGGTTCTTTCTCAGCCTCTTTCCTTTGGCTGAATCTGCAGGCATCTTACTACGGGAACCCTCCTGGAGCATTCCATGAACCAAGTACCCATCCCTTTGATGAAGCACTGCCTCCATCTTCTTCCTCCCCCCTCTCTGCAGCTTTGGCAGTGGCTACAACACTGCCAAACCTCTGGCTCTTGCTCAATGGGCAAACATTACACTTCTGAGAATGAACTATACAGTACAAACCATCTCCAGAAATAGAGAGGTCATTGTGCTGCCCTTTAGTAGAACTGTTGAAAAGAGGGTATGATTGCCAGCCAGAAGTGCAATACTTTTTTGGCGAAGAACTGCCATCTAGGCTTTGAGTTGTGTCCTAAAGGCATTAATATAAAAGCTATTTTGTGGAGCTAAGCTAAGCTAAAATCTAAGTTTTAATTAAAATTGAATACAGTATTTCTATTATGTATTTGATAAATCTCTCTCTCACACACACACAATTTGTAGCCTGTGTAATTGGGCAACAACTTTGGGAGTTTTCTGGGGGCCACACTGAAAGCTATGGGGAGGGGGTGACCGGAGCTCTAAGATTTTTTGTTTTCTAGGGCCGTGATCTCAGTTCAGACCTGTGTTTTCCTACCAGAATTAAAAACACAAAAACCAAGCAGCGCAACTTGACACCACATACCTGTCGTAATAGTCACGCTGGAAGTCATAATCAAGGTCAAATGAAGACCTGAAAGACAAAGCATTGGAACAACACGGTCAGGTTTCAGGGAGGCTGGGGGCCCACGAAGCACGAAGAATCTGCTCACATCCCAAATTAGCAAGAAGTGAAACAGTTTAGTTACAATGCAAAGGTGAAAGCAAGCACCCATCCAATTCCCCCTCCCTGCATTGCCACCCCCACTTTTTTAAAAAGCTACTTGGCACTGTGACCCCCCCAGTTTCATCCACCCCAAATACATAAAAGCCATGCCGAGTCAGATGGATTGCTCCAAGTGCTCGCACACACACGCACACCTATCCACAAACACAATCAGATACTGCATCTTGCACCCAAGCTGAACAGCAAGGCAGAGGCATTGCTCATTCCAGAGCCCATTCCAAAATTAAATTAGGAAATTTTTTTTAAAAAAAGAGAGACGTTAAAAATAATGTAAATGTAAGGGTCCCGACCTGACTAGAGGGGACGGAGAAGGTGGTGCGGCTACTGACCCGTACATCTCTGTGGCCGATCTCTTCACCCCAGCTTTACCTCGGTTCAACTTTGGCTCCGCAGCCAGATTAATATCTGAATGAGACACAGAAGCTCAAGTTTGAAACCTAGGACCTTCACGGGCTCTTGGGAGAAACTGCAATTCTGCCACCATACGGGTAATAATGCGGCTTTTCTCACCCAAGGAGAATGGGTGTTGTCTTACCTGAACACCTGTTCTCCTTGTAGGCTAGACAGGTCAGGAGTAGGAGTTGCTCTTGTCCTAGCTGCTTGGACCGAGTCTATCTAAAAGGCTTATTAGCTTAGTGTCAGCTTTGGAAGCCATATTCCACGCTGCCACATAGCCTGAGAAGTTGGGAGGGGGGTGATTTCAATTGAATAGTTCTAAGTAGACAAAATAAAATTCTTTTCTTAGTTCAAGGTTGTTAGGAATATAAGTCACCTAACAGGTATTTGGGTTAGAAATAAACCAGGATAAAGATTTTAAAACTGTATCTTTTAAGAAAATGCAAAACTGTAATTAGGTGTGATTTCTCAAACGGCCATAAGATGGAGCCAGAAACCTGGGTTGTTTAGTCTTTCTCAGAAGAGAGTGTATCTCTGTTTCCTTCTGTTGGAAAGTATTGCCGTTCCTCCATTTCTTCTAATTGACTGCTATTACTGGATTTGATGTAAGTTTGTTACTGAACTGTTTTTGACACTGGACTTTGATATTGGAATTATCCTTGAAATGAACACTGATTTAACTGTGAATGACTTTGGACTGCCTATTTTGGACTTTGCTTAAACCATTTCTGGAAGTAAAAACCTACATTTACTGTACAGTGTATCTGTGTACTGTGTGTGTATTATTCAAACACTACTCTCAAATACGTCTCCCTGTATGCGCTCATTCTCCTAACGAGGAATTACCTCAACAAAGGTTATTAAGTGTGGCGCAGCAGAGAAAAACGATCTTACACTGAGACAGATCGTGATTGGCCCATGGGATGTGATGATGGGAGAAAAGGGGATGGATTGTAGTTTGGGACATTGTGGGAAGTCCAGGAAACTTTAGTTTCAAGAATTCACAGATGTGCCAGGTGCTATTCTGATAAAGGTACTTTTGAGATTATGCTTGTCTCGGAGTTACTAATTGGAATGGAGATTTGCTGGAACTCTGACATTATCTCAAAACTCTAATGAACTCCAGCACCCCATAGGGGGAAGCTATCAGGGGTGCTGAACCCCAGGACTGATTCCAGAAATGGAGCAGTGCAAACCCTCAGCTCAGATGGAAGAAGAGACTGAAGGGGCTTTTGGGCTGGACACAGAAAGACTGATTGAGGCCCCCAGCCCCCCTTCTGAAGAAGTGATGCAGGCATTAGAAGCTGCAGAGGAGAGGCGGAATCTTGGAGCCCAGCCAAGAGATAGTGAATCATTGAGGAGCTGCCAAAAGGAACAGCTTTCTTCCTCAAGCCCGGTACAGTTTGCTCAACAGACAGAATGGAGATGTGGGGAGGCGTTGGGATCAGAAACCTTCCAAGATTGTGATCAGTGCCCTCCTTCCAGAAGCCAGTCGTTGGCAGGAATCCCAGAACAGCTCCAGCAGCTGAAGGTGGAAAGTTAGGTCTCACAGCCCACATTTACCTTCCCCACTTTGAAAAAGGGAGGCGAATTCATGTTGGCATCAGGTGGAGATGGCCGGCGAAGCAGCCCAGCCTGGCAGGCTCAAGGTTCAAGGGAGACGGCAGATGCAGCCTACATTGGGTACGTTACAAACCCCAAGCCCTCCCCCTCCTCACCCAGAAAGGAGATTACCCCCTGCAGAGAGTATTCCTCCAGGGTGGGGATTTTATCCTGGTCAAGGGTGGGTCCAATGCCAGTGGATGCCAGCACCCGCTTTTCCACCTGGTCAGGGAATGCCCTGGCCCCAAAAAGAATCAGCCATCCCTTCTCAGCTCAGGGATCTGCACAGGCAGCAGAGGCCAGCCACCCTTTTCTTCCCATCGCAGGGAAGGAGGCAACAACCGGCCTTTCCATGGCAGGGCCCTAATCAGCCCCACCTTGGCCCAACCCTGCAGAGGCCCTTCTTCCAGAGAGCCCCAACTCAGCCAGGCCTCGAAGGACCCCTTCAAAGTTTATACGTTACTTGTCAGGCTCCATTCCTTCCAGCTCAACCTGCAGTTGCTATGGCAATTCCACCTCCCACCCTTAGACCAGACCAGATGGTTTTCAAGGCCACTTTTGACGGCCGACGTGAACATTTTGCTTATTTCCTCACTCTAATCTGGTCCCACATAAATCAGTTTGGAGCCCAATATGCAACAGTTCACGATCTGGTCACTGCAATAACAAATGGGATGAATGAGGGGGATGCTTCTGATTGGGTCACTCAATTGCACTACGAACAAGCCCCATAACTACAGGATGTCAATGCTTTCATTGATCTACTGAGGCTTCGATTCGAAAATCCTGACAGAGTGGGAGAAAATGAGGACAAATGAATGGAAATGAAACAAGGCAAGCAACCCTTACAAGACTTTGTATGGGACTTTAGAAGGGTTGCAAGCCACCTCATGAACTGGCCTGAAATAATTCTGTTACACTATTTCAAGAATGCTATTGACCCCAAAGTAAAAAAGGCCTGTAACATTAGAGGAACGCCCAACACTCTTCAGGATTGGTACACAACATCCCTCAAACTAGAATGGGATATCAATCCACAGAAAAAAAAAAACCTACCTGAAGGGCCTCCTAGGAGAGTTGTGGCCAGGTGATCTCTGACCAGACCTGCTGAAACTGCTCCTACCCGACCCACAAGAATAAGTGTTATCATTGTGGCCAGGATGGCCATACAGCAGCCGACTATTTGGCTCCTGCACCAGTCCCACAAGCTCCACAACAAAGGCCTAATACAGCCGCCAGAGCCCGAAAAATTCAATGGAAGCCTTCGGACACTAGCCGGTTTGCTAGACACACCATAGAAGGTCCCCTCCACGCAGAAGAGAGCAATGAACTTCCAACCCAAGAAATTCTCCCCAGAGAAACCAATGAAGACAACCCTATGGTGAGTCCTGCCATCACACCTTTTGCAGTCAAAGTGAAGTTAGTGGTGCCTGACATGGGGGAGGCAGGGGAGATAGAAGCTGTAATAGATACTGGTTGTTCCAGATGCCTGATTGGCCTCCCCATCGTTGAACAATTAGGAATAAAAACAAAAAACCTGAAACGGCCAATCAGGTTTGAGCAAGTAGATGGGACTTTAATTGGGGGAATCCCAGCCACCAAAGTGACAGAGTTAATCAAACTACAGATGGGCAGTCACCGTGAACTCATACGTTTTATAGTGGCTCCAAAGATGTCAGAATCTGTAATACTGGGAGTTGCTTGGCTAGATAAATGGGCCCCGACCATCAAGTGGGAGGACAGATACCAAAAAATCATAATTGGGGTTGGCCCATTACCCCTCTTCCTCCCACAAAGAAACTACCACTCAACAGAGATCCCCAACCTGAAGCAGCAGCCACCGCCTCAGATTCTCCTCCAGGTGCCCCCCAAGTCCCCAAACAATATAAAAACTTGGCTGAAATGTTCAGCGAAGAGGAATGCAATGTTTTACCTCCCCATCAAGCCACTGATTGTGCCATAGAGTTAGAACCCGGGGCAAAACTGCCAAAACCAAAGATGTATTCGATGACACCAGCTGAAATGACTGAATTGAGAAAATACATTGATAACAATTTGGAGAGAGGTTTCATTGAGCCCGTCATATCTAGATTGGCCGCCCCAGTGCTATTCAAAGAAAAGATGGCGGGTTGAGATTATGTGTTGATTTTAGGGATCTTAACGCCATGTGTGTAAAAAACATGTACCCCTCCCCCTCATGAAAGACTTATTAAACCACCTGTCAAAAAGCAAGTTCTTCACCAAACTAGATCTGAGAGAGGCTTACTACTGAGTTCGCATAAAGGAGGGAGACGAATGGAAAACGGCCTTCAACTGCCCTTTGGGTAGTTTCCAATTCCGAGTCATGCCTTTCGGCCTCCAAGGGCCCCCCACAGTATTTATGCAACTCATCAACAAAGTGTTACATCCACACCTGTACCAAGGGATCCTCATCTACCTGACTGACATTCTTAAATTCAGCAAAACCATTGAAGAACGTGTCAAATTGGTCAGGAAAATGCTGAAAAAACTTTTAGATGCCAAGTTATATGTAAAACTGTCAAAATGCGAATTCCACAAAGAGTCACTGGATTACCTAGGCTACCGAGTATCCAACCAGGGAATTGAGATGGACTCTGGAAAAGTGACAGTGGTGCTAGATTGGCAACCCACCAGAACACGCAAGCAACTTCAAAGCTTCCTGGGTTTTGCCAATTTCTGTAGACAATTTATTCCTTCTTTTGACGAGGTCGCCCTCCCTTTGACAGAGTTATTGAAAACTGGACCTTCCCCCAACAAACCAAAACCCAATCAACCCCTTGCTTGGACAATGGACTGTCAGAAAGCTTTTGAGACTTTAAAACGCTTATTTGCAGTTGAGCCCATTCTCCAGCACCCGGACCCGACCAGACCTTTCATAGTCCAAGCTGATGCTAGTGGATGTGGCTGTCGCAGCCATTCTTCTCCAAAAGGACTCTCAAAACCAGCTAATGCCCTGCGCTTGTGTCCAAAAAGTTGACAGACACAGAGCGTAGATGAGCGGTTTGGGAGAAAGAAGCGTTTGCAGTGTGATGGGCTTTGCTGTCTTGGAGGCATTTCCTAGAAGGGGTGAAGGAGCTGTTTGAGGTATGGACTGATCACAAGAACCTCAAGGCTCTAAAGACACCTTGGAAACTATCACCTAAACAAGTCCGCTGGGCTCAATATTTCAAGTGGTTCAACTTTCACATGAAATATATCCCAGGCGGGAAAAACATACTGATGGACGCCCTGTCGAGAAACCCCCAATTTGACAGTCGCCGAAAGGAAGTAGCGCAGACTATAATATCAGAAGCCCAACCAGCAGGCCAAGTAACCACCTGAGGCCAAGCCAACCGCAGCCCCAGATGCTTAGGAGACAAACTGACAACTGAGTTGAAAGCGGCCCT